GGAAAAATAATATATATATATATATATATATATATTTATTTATTTATTTATATATATATATTAACATAAAACACATAAAAGTGAAAGTTTGGTTTTTTAATGAACAAAAAAATATACAACAATTAATAACATTAACTAAATAGTTATTCTATGTTTCATGTTATTGTAAAGGTTTAATGACTAGTCATTTGCTAAGTTAAACTCTTATGCACAATTTCTAAATAAAATTAAAAAGTTATCATATTTTGATAAAATATTAAAAAATAAATATATACTACAAAATCAATAACGTTAATTGAATAATATTTCTATTTTTAATGTTATTATGGATGTTTAATGATTACCATTTGCTAACTTAAAAATATATTTTAGGGGTAAGATAAACCTTTATAAACTTATATAATTTTATGCTATTAATTAAAGATATTATTTTTAACAGGCATTATAGAGTATTAATATATTTCTTATACATAATTGACTTTTAAATCTAACTATGATCTCAAAGATCTTTTTTTTAAAGGATTTTCTAATATTTTTTCTCTTAAAATAAAATATTAGTGACGACTTTATAAAAAATATTGGTGACGAGTTCAAAAAAAAATATTTTTACATCATTCCTGTGTAATTTTGGTTGCAACAAAATTTATTCATGAAAAAAATTGAAAACACATTGAAGTAGTAAAAGAGTTTCACCATTCAACTTCAAGCTAGTTTCATAATATAACAATCCATTTTCTCAAACAAGTCCTTATCCACCCACATTTTTTAAGAATTTATAATTAATTTTCTACTCAATCAAGTAAGATAATTCCAAAGCCATCATCGTAGAGTTTACTTTCCAAAAAAAAAAAACAAAAAAATTCATCCGCAACAAGATCAATACATTAACAAAACAGAGAGCAAACAATGTATGAACGATTTTAGGCATCTTGTGTTACAAAACTCACCATAAATTACACAAGTGGACAAGTAAATTAACCTATTATTTCACATTCAATATAATAATTCTTATTTACCATCAAAACATGAACTATATGTAACAGCGTGATTTTTACGGATTGTACGAAGGCCCAAAGCCCAATAAGAGTTATGTAGTAGTCCAGAACGGACCGTTCCCAGATTGGAACGGGCCGTTCCAAACTACTAAAACGAGGGTGATTTAGTAGCCTAGAACGGGTCGTTTCCAAACTGGAACGGGCCGTTCCAAAATACAAAAATTTGTCTACAAAATTTAGATGAAAACGGGGCGTTCCCAAATTGGAACGGGGCGTTCTAAACCACCAAAAAGGCCTATAACCCTAGTTGGGAACGGACCGTTCCAAATATGGCTGTTATGGGTTAAATGCAACCCAGAATGGGTCATTCTGGTTTGAGAACGGGCCGTTCTGGTTGTGAACTTCACACATAACGTAAGAGTTCAGAATGGGCCGTTTCGATTTTGAAACGGGTCGTTTCGGCCACTCCTGATGCCTATAAATAGAGCGCTCTGGCACTCCCAAAAAGCACACCTTTCAGTTCTGACTTCTTTCAGTTCTGACTTCTTTTCCTTCTAAATTCTCTAAAGACCGAGGGGAACCCAGAAGAGGAGACCAACCAGATCCTACTCTAGTTTCAGGTACTGCTTATCGAGGTACGGGAGAAAAAGGGAGATTTATATGTAGAGTTACATGAGGGAAATGGGTAGAGAAAGTGTCCCTTAGAATTATGGGTAATTTTATAATTTTTTCTGTTTGAGGAATTGATGATCCCATTAGATTATGTATGTATTGAGGATTAGAAATATATATTTAATTTATGAAAATGATGATCTAGGAGAGAGAACAAAATTGTAGAAAAGTGTTTGTGAGTTAGGTTTTGAAAAAAAATTGGGGGGTTTTACTATTTGATTTAATATTGTATTAAATTGGTGAATTAATTGGGTTTTATATTAATTTATAAATATTATTGTTATATTATTGTTATAGATGTGTATTCATGGTGAATTGTTTGAGGGGTATGTGAATCATTGTATTGTGTGGACTTATCTGTATGTAATATGGAATTTGAGTTATGAGATGGGATGTTGTATTGAATATGAATATGATGTGATTGTGGTTCCTCACACTAATGACCAGGGATGAGACGACCTTTGGGTAAGTGATGCTACAGGGATGGCGTGCCCCTGGCATACTGTGAGATGAGTGAGACAATTAACATGTATCACTTATGTCAGATGTGGCGTGGCCTTGGCATATGGTTAATTGTAAGATTTGTGTGGATTGTGAATGTGATTGTGGTTCTCACACATATGACCAGGGATGAGACAACCCTTGGGTAAGTGATGCTACAGGGACGGCGTGCCCCTAGCATAGTGTGGGATGAGTGAGGCAATTAACCCGTATCACTTATGTCAGCTGTGGCGTGACCTTGCCATAGTGTTAATTGTAAGATTTGTAATGATTGTGATTGTGATGTGATTGTGTTTCTTCACACATATGACTAGGGATGAAACGACCCTAGGTAAGTGATGCTACAGGGATGGCGTGCCCCTAGCATAGTGTGGGATGAGTGAGGCAATTAATACGTATCACTTATGTCTAGAGTGGCACAACCTTGAGGTGGCGTGACCATTGACATAGTGTTAATTGCAAGATTTGTGATAAATTGGTGTGATTGTGAAATTGTGATGTGAATGTGATGCATGATTGATAGAATATTTAGAATGTATGGATATGCTTGTAAAGACTTCATTAATTGATGAGTTATGATAAGATTATGTTGTATTTTTCCTTGTGTTCTTTACATATAGATGTTTTCTTTTCTCACCATATAATTTGTGGATGTTTTAGGTGAGGAAGATCCGGCTTTGAGTGGCATCTAGAATGTTAACTATTGAATTGTGGGTGTGTTCTGGTATTGTAACATCGGGGCTAAGAATTTCTAGGATATGGAATTTTTATATGAATTTGGAGTTGTAATTATTATTTTTAAAGACAAGTTGTAAACTCTTATATTTTATTTTCCAAATTTTATTCATGTTGGACATTGAAGATCATTTGTGAAGGTTTTTATGTGAACCCTTTTACCAATACGTTGAAAAAATTTATTCCCTTAATTTAATTACATTTTACGATATATGTGTTGGTGATGGCAAAAACTAGGAGAAGTGATAGGTGTTCTTCTCCTCGGATTCACCAAAGCTTGGACCTCTTCAATGGAGCTTGAAACCGAATGGATGAACACTTGAAATGGAGGAGGTTTTCGGATTAGAATAGCCTAGACTAAGGAAGGAAGTACCCTAGCTTAAGGCTAAAAGGATTGCTCACTTCAAAAGGTAGGAACTAGGTAAGTTTCCTAGGGTTTTTGAAGGCAATAT